ACGCCGCCCTACCAGCACCTGGAGCTGGCTGAGCCCGTGGAGGTGGAGGTCTTCCTGCAGCGGCTCACCGACAGCGTCTGCAGCGAGTCCTTCCGCTTCACCTACCTGCCCAAGGACCATGGTACCTGCACGGCCCTGGGAGGAGGACGACGGGCCCCCGCGATTGGGACAGGACCCCTGGGGTTGGGATGTGGCCCACCTGGGATGGGGACAGGCCAGCTGGGATGGGGACGTGCCACTCAGCAGTGGGATGAGAGGGACTGGGACACCCTGCGTGTGATGATGATGATCACCCACGGGATTGGGGACAGGTCCCCGGGATGGGGACAAAGCTTGAAGGATGGGGACATGGAGTGGGGACAGGACCCTGGGGTTGGGATGTGGCCCACGGGATGGGGACAGCCCACCTGGGATGGGAACAAGGCTTGAAGGATGGGGACACAGAGTGGGGACAGGACCCCAGCATTGGGATGTGGCCCACAGGATGGGGACAGCCCACCTGGGATGGGGACAAGGCTTGAAGGATGGGGACACGGAGTGGGGACAAGACGCCTAGGGTTGGGATGTGGCGCACCTGGGGTGGGGACAGGCCAGCTGGGGTAGGGACATGCCACTCAAGAGTGGGATGAGAGGGACTGGGACACCCTATGTTTGATGGTGATGATTGCACATGGGATTGGGGACAGGTACCCGGGATGGGGACAAGGCTTGAAGGATGGGGACATGGAGTGGGGACAGGACCCCAGCATTGGGATGTGGCCCACAGGATGGGGACAGCCCACCTGGGATGGAGACAAGGCATGCAAGATGGGGACGTGGGATGGAAACGGGCTGCCTGGGGCAGGGACGAGGCCTGCGGGATGGGGCCACCTGGGATGGGGACGTGCCACTCAAGAGCGGGGTGAGAGGGACTGGGGACACCCCACCACGATGTTGCTCATAGCCCATGGGATTGGGCACAGGCCCTCGGTATGGGGACAAAGTTTTGAAGGATGGGGACACAGAGTGGGGACAGGACCCCAGGGTTGAGATGTGGCCCATGGGATGGGGACAGCCCACCTGGGATGGAGACAAGGCATGCAAGATGGGGACGTGGGATGGAAACGGGCTGCCTGGGGCAGGGACGAGGCCTGCGGGATGGGGACGGCTCTCTCCAGGCTGGGGACAGGCTCCCAGCGTGGGGACAAGGCTAACGGGGTGAGACCCGGTGGCGGGGGGACGCCCTGCGCTCACAGCCCCC